TCCATGTCATAGCATCCATGAGCATCCAATGGAGTTCCTGTTCCTGGTGCCTTCGACCAGGCGGTTGGTCCCCCAGCCCGCCAGTCAGTCCACCGCTGCCCTGCGCTGCCCGCAGGTGGCGACTCAACGCTTGGATCAGCCGGACGCCGCAGTCCCCGGCGCGACGCCTGCGGAGGGGTCCGCGCAGCGCGCGGAGGAGGGGAGCCCCAGCAGGGAGTTCGTGGCGCAGAAGTGGATGACGGATGAGGCCCAGCAGCAAGATCCGAGAGGAGGGAGAGGGGGTCGGAGGAACTGAGTAGATTGTAGACTCTGAAAAAGTTGTATCTGACATGGATCGATCGACTCTTGAAAGAAACACTCCATTCCTTAAAGCAGTGCTTTTGGTCTTGGATGAAGAACCCCCAGCCTGGCAGAGGGTCCACCAGGCTTGGGGCTCTTGAGGGTCCAGTGCCCTCCAAGGGACGGCCGGAAAGGGTCGAATGAGAGAGAAGGGGAATGAGAGGAAGGGGGACGTCCTGTGAGGCGGACCCTATTGTGAGCGACTCCGCGCATGGTTTGTTTCTTTGCTCACCGATTTCATGAAAGTACAGCAAAGGTTGACTAGATTTGAATCATTATGGGATCATGCGGCTATCATGTTGATTTGTTTAAAGGAATAGCACCGAGCTGCTGAAAGAAGCAAACAAACAATACGACAGAAAGGAAAGAAACGAATGGAAGACGGTAGGTAAGGAAAAGGAAAAGGAAAGGACAACAAGCAAAGGATGGGAGGAAGGTTTAAAAGGGATTTTCCAACCCATGCAGGAGGGACATGTTGATTGCAACATGCTGCCCCTAACTGTGCTATTGCACACCAACTCTTGTGGAAAAGGGCCCGTAACAAAAAATATCAATAAATATATAGACATATATATATATATCCTCTCTTGACATTCATGAAGAAGATGTGGTTGTCTTCGAGCACCACTGTGGCTTGGAGGATGGTCGAGGCAAGTAAAGAATTCTTGCGAATGGCAAAGAATATCAAGGCATGGCTAGGCTTAGATCTAAATCGCTTGCAGTTGCAGTGCGTTTGGATCTTTACAGCATTTGCACCACTATTGCCACAACTGGCCAGGCACGTGTTGTGCCCCGGCCAACTCCACCCCCCAGCCCGCCGAAGCAGCCGAAGCCTGTGCAGCCGGGCCCTTTGAAGGCTCGAGTGGAGGTTACAAGTTCTTTGACAGTCCCACACTTAGAAGGAAGCTCGCAAGAGGACACATATGACAGGTTCAATCCAGAGTGCATGAAGTACCCTGAAGTGTGCTGAAGTACACTTTTGGAACAGGGTTTGACACAGACACACACACACACACAGATATACTTGCGAGCAGTCCATCCCGCTCCTGGAAAAAGCCCTGGTACACCTGCGGGGTACTGGAGGTTTATGAGTGAGAAAAGTAGACAACAACTTATTCAGAGCATTGATCATTGATCTTCTGAAAAATCCAAGTTCTGCAATTGTTTGACAGATCTGGCTCAACATGCGTTGTTCTTCTTTGTGGGGTGTCGCCCATGCTCATTGCTCATGGACCATGAATGATTCTCATGCATTCAATTCCATGCACTAGCAAACTAGGTGAAGCTTAGTTGCTGGCATATGCTGGCTCCAAGATTCTTCCAAAGAAACGCACCCTAAATCCCTAACACATCCTAACTGAATCCTAACACCCAATGTTGAATGTCCAAATCTTTGAGCTCGTCTTCTACACTGTCTTCTACTCCACTCTCCATTCTCCCAAACAAGCCACTCACTCCTCAAGGCTGGCGGCAGTTCCACCGTTCTCCATGCGGCTCTCAGCGCTTCGCATGCTTCGCAAACCGCCGCGCCCTCCGGCGCCGCGCACGACGCGCCCTCCGGCGCCGCGCGCTTCGCAGCGCCGAGCGCCTCGTGGCGGTGTCGCTCGGATAGCGGCTTTCGAGCTCAAGGCTTTACAGATGAAGAGATCGCCCGGCACGCCCAGCCGACGGGACATCGACGGGGTAGACAGGGCTGGCAAAAGGTACTGGGGGGGGCTCTGAAACAAGAAAGACCAGTTCGGGTCATGGATCTTCATTGATCTTCATAATATTCAAAAACGGGCGCTCAAAGCCTCACATCTCCCACACTGTAGGTCCTAGAGGTGAGGATCCGCTTTTCGTTAACCGTCTTTGAACAAGGGCTTGGGATATTTGGGATGACTTGTTTTGTACCGCCAGATGGGCCCCAGATGACTGCATTTCATCCATTTCATCAGCTGTCGCAGATCGTTGTCGACTGAACCCCTTGGCCGTGCTGCGGAACTTGAGGCTCTCATGGAGAGGAAGAGTTAGGAGCTCAGAGTGCTGAGTGTTCTTCGCTGACTTTGTGCAGGATGGGATGACCAACAGAGGTTGAAGGACCCGAACTAGATCATCCCATAGGTACCCCAGGTTACGGGTCCTAGTTCAGGTCACTTAATCTCTCTTGGGATGACATGACACATTGCTTCAGTTTCTTTCTTCCTTTGTCCGAATCCCACTGGTGAGAACATAGCGAACGTGACATCATAGGGTCACACCGTCATAGGGTAACATGGTCCCACCTCAGCTTCTCATGTCTTAGTCAGTTTTGCAGACTCACAACCATGGCCCTCCTCACCATTCATGGAATATCATGGAATCACGTTTCGGAAGCTTAGACTCATCATCAGATGAAACCTCATGGACCATGATCAGTCCATGTCCATATCCTATCTGTCCACCCGGATCAAAAGCACATGAAGCATCATGACAATTGAAGATGATCAGTCCATATCAGTCTTATCACCAGGTGTGTCTTACAATAGCGAGACCTCGTTCAACCCCCTGGGTGCGGTTCGAAAACATGGCCTTCAAGGCCGGAGCGAATCCTATTCAACTAGTGATGGCTTTCCTATTCAGGTAGCTTCTTGTTAGGTTCGCGTCCGATCGCTCTGGACTCGAGTCGCGATGCCTTTTGCTCCGTTCGTAGCGTCCTTGCTCCTAGTATTCAAAGATCCATCCATTCCATTGCCCAAGCCGAATTGCTGCCGGGGTCCAGACCCGAGGCCCTCCGAGTTCGCCGTCAGGGCGCGAGAGTCGGGAGAAAGCGCAGAGTCGAGCGACTTGGGCAGAGCTGAGCACTGGTCTTGGAGGTTTTGGGTTGGGGTAGGTTGGAGGCCATCGCTACTAGGGTGGAGGTCATCGCTACTCAGTTGGAGAGTGGAGGCCATGATTCAGCTGTGAAGATTTGAGGAGGAAAAGGTGAGAGATGGTGGAGGTCCTCCTGGAAAAAACACTGAGACTGGATGTCGTAACATCTTGGGCATTTTTGAGCTTATGTGTTTTTTTGAAAGTGGTGATCCATGGTCTACACAGCTCAGAGTTCGGCTTGAATGGCCCCAGTATGTACCTTTGTGGCTTTGTGGACCCAACATGGCTCTAAACCACATTCCTGCCGTCTGGGCCGGGCCATCCTCTCCACTCCAGTGAAAAGGTGCACATCCTCCACCAAAACGATTCCCAGGTCTGCTCCGCTTCTCGCACACGGCCTGCTGCCAAAAGCCTTCCCAAAGCCGGGGGCACCACACTGCAGTCAGGCAGAAGCAGCGGCGCCGCGCATGTTGTGCGACGCGCGATGGCGATGTGATGCGAAAGGGTCGAAATCGGATGCCCAGGTGGTTCGCAGGTGGTCACAAAGTATAGTTCAACATTGGTGCAAAACTATAAAACAACAGACTATGTCCACTGATCCAAGAGCGTTGAACAGATGTTTGGAGATTGCAATAATTTGTGATGTTCTGAGATCTTCTGAAGTGCTAGTAACCAACTAACCTGTTGAAAGCATATCGCCTCCGGATCTTTGGTCACCATTCCCCCACCCCAATCCCATTGGCATCGGACGCAACGACACAACGGACGCGGGAGGAGGCGAACGCTAGAAACCCATTGGAACCTATTGGAACCTGTTGGAAGTTGGTGGTTTTCGGTTGGGTCTTGGCTCAAGTCCGCAGTATTTTCCCACCTCTCCATGTCTTTCATCTTCGGTTTGGTTCACCTCTCCCTCGCTGCCAGGAGCTGCTTCCCGCGGACCAGCTGTGCCTGCCGTCGCGCCGACGGTTCGGCCACAAGCGGCGCAGGTTCGGGGACCCGGTTCACGCTGGGTTTCGGCCAACGGCTTGGTGTGTGGTGAGGGTCGACTACTGGGGCCTCGACTGAGATGGAGCCGAAGGCAAGGATGGGGTTGTTTTCGTGTCTCGTTTCTCTGGTCGTTTGGACATCTTCAACTGGCCACCAGCCTGGTGTTTTGCCTCAACTCCACGGATCTTAGGGTTCAAGGGAGATCAGCAATTTTCAGTGATGGATGATCAAATCCCACCTCACCGGATGATGGGAATTGGAACACCCCAGAAGAAAAAGTGGACTTGTTGAGAAGAACTGTGGTTCAGGGCGTATTTCGTGCGTAAGAACGCGGATCCAGCCATATCCAGCCACGGGGTGTGAGCATGTGTTTAGGCTACTTTGTGGTTTCTCCAACGGAAGCGACTCATTAGACTCCCCATGAAAGATCATGAAAGATGGTATGGTATTTATGGTAGCCTTGCTGGTTGACAACATACAGTGCTTCTACGTACTCTCTCCCCAGCTGTAGCTCTTGGATTCACCTAACATCCACCACAGTTCTGATTCTGATATATGCTGATCCAGGTTGTGAGTGAATCCACCATACAGATATACAGGGATGGGTGACGTCCCCCAGGTGTCATCACCAAGTTCGCCTCGCAGAAGCGCCACCGAGGCCCCGCAAGCCACGCCAGGGCGCAGTGCTGGCAGCAGCTCCTCAGTCGCGGCACAGGCGGATGCGGCGGGCGGCGGTGCTGTGGGTGCCAGTGAAGAGGTGCTAAGGCAAGAGGAAGAGGAACGAAGATGGAAGGAAGAGGAAGCCAGACGTCAAGAAGAAGCGCGACTTC